GGCCGGAAATATCCCGGGACGTTGGGGGGACACCTGGTCGGTTCGGGGAGGGGGTAGTTCGAAAGCTCGGGAACTCAGGGTTGATAGGACGACGGGAGCCGTCACTGAAGCCGATATTGTTGAGGAGGAGGGGGGCAGCGCTTGTTGCCGTCCCTAAAGGGCGTCTGCGGCGGCGGAGGGTGGCGGCGGTAAAGGCTGCGGAGGCCGCGGTTCTAGCGGCGGCGGGTGCGCGGGCGGCGGCGTCCGGGCGGCTGCAGCGGTGGCGGTGAGGAGGGATGGGGGAGGGCGGCGGCGGCGAGGGCAGCGGCGAGAGCGGCGGCGAGGGCGGCGGTGGCGGCGGTGGCGGCGGTGGCGGCGGTGGCGGCGGCGTCGATGGAGGCGGCAATGACGGCGACAGTGCTGACGGCGGCGGCAATGACGGCGGCGTGAGAGGAAATCGGCGAGCGCGGCGGCGACGAGAGAGGCGGCGAGAGCGGCGGCCGTGCTGGCGGCATCGATACTGACGGCGTTGGCGATGACGGCGGCGGCGTCAATGGAGGCGGTGATGACGGCGGCGGCGGTGACGGCGACGGAGATGACGGCGGCGATGACGGCGGCCGTGCTGACAGTGGTGGCGTCGACGGTGCCGGACCTTCATGAGCTGAGAGCCCGTCCTCGATGCGGGGACGAGCCCGAAGAGCGCCGCGTAGGGCTTCTCGCGCACACATGGCCGGGTCGAACGCCGCGTCGACTGGAGCGGCGATGACGGCGGTCGGGTCGATGTCGAGGACGGGCCGAGACGTGACAGTGACCGCGCGAACGCCCTGTGCATGCCGCCGGGGAGCCGGTGCGTCATTCAAGTGCTTGAATGGGAGGCACCCACGGGGCGGTAACGCAGCGGCGCACCGCACTCTCGTCCGCGATGTCCGTGTAGCACTCGGTGGTCGCCTGCGACAAGCCGCCGCGGTGCGGTTGTAGGCCTTCGAGCAGGTACGCGCAGACGGTACGCCGACCTCGTACTGCGAGGGATGCGGCAGCGACCGAGGAGGCGACGGTGAAGTGGGCTGCCGGCATGCCGGAGATGGCGACGCGGGCCTGCGCGAGGGCGAGGAGAAGGGTGGAGGCAGGCGGGAAGGCGGGCGGGCGGAGGGGGGAAGACGATCTGGAGGGGGTGAGGGAGGGAGCCGGCCCGCGGCCGGCACCTTCTCCGGACACGGCCCGCCGCCCTTCATGAGAGCTGAGAGCCCGTCCTCGATGCGGGGACGAGCCCGAGAGCGCCGCGTAGGGCTTCTCGCGCACACATGGCCGGGTCGAACGCCGGGTCGACTGGAGCGGCGATGACGGCGGTCGGGTCGATGTCGAGGACGGGCCGAGACGTGACAGTGACAGCGCGAACGCCCTGTGCCGCCGGGGAGCAGGTGCGTCATCCAAGTGCTTGAATGGGAGGCACCCACGGGGCGGTAACGCAGCGGCGCACCGCACTCTCGTCCGCGATGTCCGTGTAGCACTCGGTGGTCGCCTGCGACAAGCCGCCGCGTGCG